TGTCTGTTTTCAGAGAAGTGGTGTTTAATTGTCCTGAGGAAATGAACTTTCCATGTCTGGCATTCGGGCCTACAAGAAGCCCAATTGGGAGAATTTTTTGCGGGGGGGGGGGGGGTAAAGTGTTTCCCCATTTGTCTGTTGGAGTGTTGATTTACACTCCAAAGTAGAATGTTTGCCTTTGCCACATTTTTTACATATTTTAAGAGATTTGGGCTGCCTTTGGGGATTAATTTGATGTTATCTGCAGTTTATTTTGAAATAACCCTGCTCATCACAATTAAAACACTTGAAATTTGGGGTCGAATTGTTGTACCCAGACTACAGAAAACCCAAAGAGACTACCAGGAACCACAACTCCAAAGCAAGCACAGGAGAATCTTTATTCAAATTCAAGCTTAGTTCACAAGCCAAGAGTGTAGGAGGGTGACCCCCATAATTAGGTGAAGGGGTTTTATAAAGGAAAAAAACACAAGCAGGCATTCCCAAGCCTCTACATTGCATAAGAGGGTAAAGGAATGCTGGTCTTTAAGCTAATTGGTTTATAGCACCTGGTTAAACCTTTGGAGGAAGCCTACATCAAAAAAGAGCATCTTGACCTGGGAAAGACTTATGTTTTCTTAGACCACTCTGTTGATATCAGCTAGTTGCAGCTGTTGTGTCTGTTTTGCTACTGCCAGGAATATGTCATGATTTTTCTCAAAACTCGGGGGGGGGATTTTAAATGTTACCCCAGTTCTAATATTACTTTTGAGTATCCTTCCTTCCAGTCTTGGGGAATTATTTTAATTTTTTTTCTGATAAAATCTTTTAAACAGTTTATTATCCTTGTGTAATTATTTAAAATAACTTGTAATAGTAAACGTTTCTCCTTGACATGGTTGTTTTTGAAAGTGAATGAATTATGATTTGAGAAAAATAAATTATAAAAAAACCAAAAACAAAACAAAGAGTATATACAAGAATGCTATATAAGATATCAAAGAGAATAAGAAAGATTGGGTGGAGATGGGTTTTGGGAACACCCTGTATAAAGTACCAACCTCATCTTGAGTCTCGTGGTCCTCCATAGCTAACTTATGATAATGTATCTGAGTAGGTTTTGCTACCAAATTATTTATCTGTTGTATCACAGAGTTAGTCTGCCTATTTGAGGGCCAGGGACCAGCAGAAAAAAGCAAAAAGAACCCAAATAACGGTCCCAAGATGGGAGGAAATAGGGTTGACAACCTTGGAGAGGCTGAAAACCAATTCTTCTACCAGCATTCGTCTGTCTCTTTCTCTCTCTGATTTTTCTTAGGGCCTTCACTGACCTATTTTATGCTCTCTTTTACCCTCCTTGTCTTGTCTATGTAAAGGCAACCTTCTTCTTTAAGGGCTGTACACAGTCAAGAGCTGTACACAGCCTTTTCTATTGCAATAGAGTAAATCAAATCCAATAAGGATCTTTGCAGTTTTAGGAGGTCTCTTCAGACAGCGAAACGAGGGATTTCTTAAGATTAATGATGTCAATCTTTAGCTGTTTGATGTTCTTGTCAGTGGCCCTTCAAAGGTCTGAGTAGCATAAGTTTGGAGGCCAGCATCTGGGTTAAAACTTCTAACAGCAGACATCACGGGTGATTCATTTTTACCTGGGATGCTGCCTGAGTTAAAGCTCCTGGGATTCCCTCTTTCTCTCGGTTTTCTCGAATTATTTTATTTTTAATAGCCCAAGAAATCAAGATCTGTTTTGTAAACAATGAATGCATTTCAAAATTAGTTATGCTTTCATTAAATTTTCTTTATTCTAGAACATTCATAGGTTGCCTTTTGAATTCCTGATCATCATCTGCTCATCTTTTTGTATATTAACTAAGGGAAAGTTAACTTAGAATGGAGTCTTAAGAACAAAATGGATTTTATTCTGCTACCTCAGTTCCTTCAGTTTCAAGGCCTCTAGTGGCAGATTCACCTATAAAAGTCATATCAGGTGAACAAGCTCTAACATCAACTGTATATCTAATCCACTCATCTATTTGTGCTGGCCTTGTGTCAATGGCCTGATTCTTTCTTTGCATTCATCATTCACATTTTCAAAAGCTAATATACATTTCTTACTTCTTTCTACACCAGAAGTCAACTTTTGCAGAAAGTTAGTGAATATTTCCTTTGGACCTTTCATGACTTGATAAAATGATTCAAGTCATTTTTCCTGTTTTCTGCAACCTTGTCCTAGGTGTTTGAGTCTGCCAAGTGACATAATGTCAAGATTTCTTCATCTTATTCAGCCTGTACCCCTATCTCACCAAAATAACCCTCACCAAGCAGCTGATTTTAGAAATATTGCTAGCTCTGGCTTTATTTTGTCATGCTATTTCCTTTACCTCTTCTTTCTATCATGAGAACCATTTTAAATGTTACCCCAGTTCTAATACTGCTTTTGAATATTCTTCCAGTATTGGGGTATTATTTTATTTTAATAGCCCAAGAGGTCAAGATTTGTTTTGTAAGCAGTGAGTGAATTCCAAAATTAGTTATGTTTTCCTTAAATTTTCTTCATTCTAGTACATCCATAGGGCCTTTCAAATTTCTGATCATCATCTTCTGGTCTTTGTTGTATACTAACTGGATAAATTAAAGTTAATTTTTTAATAACCTTTGTTTGGGTTTTTCTAATTGTATCTTCTGTCTCTACCTGAGTATTACCCTAAATGCTATTTTAAGTTCCTCCTTTAAGGTCTGTACCCATTCTTCATTTTTTCCTTTTGTTGTTCCTCCTGTTCTATATGTTCCTGTATCCTTTGTTTATGGTTCTGCTTCCACATTTTAATTATTTCTTTATATTGTAATTCTGATATTCTGATGCCTATTTTATTTTGCTTGATTAATTTTAAAAGATTCTCCTCCAATCCTCATTATTTTCTCTCTGCTACTTAGTCTGACCTGTGAGCTATTGTAGCCTTTATTCTAGTGCCTTCTCTAGCTCCTGTGTCTAAACTTAATTTTTCTCTCTCTGTCCCTTATCATGAACTATAAATTTCTGTACCTTTAGTTCTAGTACTTCCTCTCAGCCATGTTGCCGAGTCTTGAATTTCTCTTTCATGCTGCTCTGTAAATTTCTATATTTTCTGTTCTAGGCCCTGCTTTTGTAATTTTACTTTCTCTTTATGTTGTAATTCTGATATGGTAACATCTCCCTTATTTGAATTTATTAACTTTAGTAAATTATCCTCTAGACCCCAGTTCCAAATGTTATTGCTATCTCTTTGCTGTTCAGTCTAATCTATGAAATTCTGCATTTGTAGTTCTAACATCCTTCCCAGCTCCTGTCTCCAACTTTAGTTTTCCTCCCTCTCTTGCTTGTCTTGACCTATAAATTCCTGAACCTTTAGTTTCAATACTTCCTCTAGCCTGTGTTACCTAGTCCTTAATTTATCTCTCTGTTACTCAGTCTCATCTAAGAAATTCTGCATATTTTGATCTAGCACCCTTGTAGCTCCTGTCTCCAATCTTTGTTTTCCTTTCTCTGTTGCTTATCATAACCTTTAAATTCCTGTACCTTCAGTTCTAATGTTTCCTCTAGCCCATATTGCTGAGTCTTAAATTTATCTCTCTGTTGCTTAGTCTCATCTATGAATTTATGCATCTTTTCTTTTAGCATCTTTACCAGCTTCTGACTCCAACCTATAAAATCCTCTTATCCCTTTTTTTAAGGCTTGTAATTTTTTATATAGGGCCTTGTCTTTTGAGAAGACATAGTAAACCAAGCTAATTAACATTGTAATTATAACTGGCAAGGTGTCAATTTACTTTAAATCTACCCCGTAGAACCATTCACAATATTATCCCATAAAACCCAGAAGGTATTTATTGTGTTTCTTATCTTTAAGTATCTAATACATATTATCAATTTACAATTCTTAATACCTAATCTGGAGCTTCTTGTACCTTTTCTCCCTCTGGTGTTTAACTCAGGTCACTGCAGTCCTCTCTAATTCATTTATTTGGAGAGGCTAACTGTAGAAAAACTGGTGGTGGCTTCTATGCCTCTGAACTCTATGTCTTTCTTTGGGTTGTGGCTAACAGTATGTACTGATCTCAGGGACCCTGCATCACAAGCTGTTGGTAAAGCCGGTCTGGCTGTCCCATGTCCTGTTTAGACATGAAAGATAGAGGAAATCGAGGATTTCAGGATTTGCAGAAGTTTGGTATTGATAATAGGAAATAAGCTAAGTTTCAGTACCATGAATACTAATCAGCATCGGGTAAAGCTTGCATTTGGCACTAGCACTATTTTCCCATGAACAATTACATAAGATATATTGTCCTTGGGAAGAGAGCTATAACATAGGCTTGTAGATAGTCATGAATGGCATTGAGTAACCTATGATAGCTTTTTTCAGGAAGCATATAGTTTATGGAACCCTATTCACCAATAGCTCAAAATAGCTCAAAAATGCCATTCAGTCCTATCAAGTTGGGTTTTACTGGAGGCATAAGACATCTAGTTTAGGAGTTATCTGACAAAAGACATTATGATATTGTTTAAATTTTGTGCATATATGTACATGTTTAAGAAGGTACTTCATTAGTACCTTCTTATGGAATTCCATAAGGTTTTATATGAAGCCTTTAGTATTGTTCATATCTGAGGTTCTCCACACAGAAATGTGGTACTTTTCTTTGTTTAAGCATCAAAAACCTTATGAAAACATTTAACCAGGCATTTGGCTTGTTTGTATTTGCAACATGCATTTCAGATATACATTCACTTACTACTGCTTCTTGGCAAAATCTAAATATATTATTATAGCTTTCCGAATTTGGAATACGAAAATATTTAAGGAAACATAAAGTTAGGAGATATAGAGGATGAAGTAAGCTTAAACACATCTTGAGAATCAATTCATGCTTGATATACAGCAAATTTATTTAGAGTGAGTTGAAGGCTACATGAGTTTCCTGTAGGGATAGGAAAATTCCCAGGGACCATTTTAACAGATGTAAATGCAGAAGGCCTCACTTCAAGCCTCTAGAAGGGCAGTTTTGGTAGCACACTTGGGCTTCACAGGACGCTGTAGCTTCAAATCGTTTATCTCAGAGATAAACACGATCACACCAAAGAGTGACATGGTGGATATGAGAAGACCTACTGGAAACACAGCAGTTAAATGTTTGCTTCTTAAGTCTTCTTTCTTAACAGAAAAATCAGATGGAAAGTCAAGAGTGGTTTGGCCATAAAGATCTACCATGTGGTTCCAGGTCACAGAAACAAATGTGAACACACTGCTAACAGCCAAAATTAAGGCAGAGATCTTATAGCAATATATCTGCATTTCCACAACTGGGTCTGTCATGCAGCTGATCTTAATGGCCATTACACAGAAAACCATAACCAAGGGCTTCATGAAAATGGCCCATACTATCAGGTTTTGTGCATACAAAAATTCAGTTGAAATGTTCCAAGTTGAATCAATAGGGGTGTACACCAGCATCTTGGTTAGTGTTCCAGAGATGTTAAACTGTTGTGGGTAATACACTTCCCACAGTCCAAAGGACACAAACTGTATAACATTGTTGTCAAATTCCCAGAGGCGCCAGGATAAGCTGCTTGCAATGAGTATTTCAAACACAAAAGCTGATAAGCTGCTAAGAAGGCCATTCAGCTTGTAAATGTACTCTTTCCCACTGGTAAATCTGAAGATAAGATTTAACAAGTACGAAGTCAATGTAGGGACACAAAATAATTTGACAAAACAAAGTAGTTGCTATATATGGGACACTACAATCTCATACCATGTTGCTGTTTTCACATAGTTGCATTTAAGTAGCCCATGCATTAGTGTTTAAAATACTACAAGTACAAATATAAGAAGTATGAAAATCCAGGACTATGCAAAGATTACCATCTACAAGTGATTTTCTTTTTCAATTACATTTACTAAAATGTAATTTTTTTGTTAACTAAGAATTTTTACCTTTAGAATTAATAGTAAGAAAAAAGAATTTGTACTATGTGTAAGATGTTGTTTTATTAGCTATGTTTGCAATGTACAAATATGATAAATAAATAAGAACAACAAGAATAAGATTATTCAAGTATCATTTCTAAATTACATTATAGATATGAGTTTTGCAAACTGAAGTCTTCTTAAGAACAAAATAAAAAATGATCCACATGGAATAGCAATGCATGGCCAAATTCCATATATGAAACATGTGTAATTTTATACATGTATAAATGCTGTGTTACACACATGACAAACACACACACTTACAAAGATACATACCAAAACTGAACACTATGTAGATTAAATTAACAATAAAGAATGTCTTTCTTGCATATATTTTTCATAAAATGAAATTTTTAGTAAAGCCATACATATTTTATAATTAAAGCCAAAGTAACAATGACTTTCAAACTATGTATATATGTGGACTAAAGCTATCCCTTAGTGGTAACGTGATTTGGTAAAATCTGAAATATCCTGAATTCATTCTTCTGTTCCAAAATCCAAAGATATTGAACTTTATTTGACTGTTTCATATAAATTATCTTGACTATCTTGTATCATTTAGCACAAAATAAAGACTACATGTGATGGATACACAAATTCATTTAAATTGGTTCTAAATTCCAACTTTTAGATGTAGTTATTACTTAGTGATATTGCTCATGGAAAATTGTGTCCTGAGGGATGCCTTGGGGTACTTGAGAAGAATGGCAAGTGACCAAATGTTTATTGCCACCAAGAATATGTTAAATTTTATTGGCACTATCCATGAAGAAGTTTGAGAGTACTTAAAGAAGAATCTCATTGCCAGGAAGCCTTTCATACCAGGTAAATACTCCTCAAAGTAATCTGTGGAATGTGCTTCCTAATTTGGAGAAGACAGTAGATGTACCACTAGAAAAGTTAGAGCAGAAAAATGGGATTCCAATTGATGGCTTCAGCAATACCATACTCTAATCTTGTTACTTACCAAGACAGATTTGAGGCAGTGGACAGCTTGAACAGTGACTATTGGTTTACAATCTGCCACAGGTGGAAAATGCTGCTGTGTCACACATATGAGATAGCCTAGCATTATCTGGTCCTGCGTGTGTCTGAATTCCATGGTGTAGATAAATGTTTCATACAGACCCAACTTGAAAGGCCCCATCTAATATATTTAAAGCTTTTACCTTTGTGTATCAATGGTGAGGTGATCCATTTAAAAGATGCTGTGATTATAAATATCTTCCAAATGTCAGGAAATGTTGACCAGAAATGGAGTCACACAAGAGGTGAATTACCTTCAGGAAAAGAAGTCAGATTAGGCAGAAATTTCAATTCAGAAGTGCCTCACCAACCAACTACTGGCTCACACACAACTTACAATTCTCTCCTGTGCTTAGATAAGTTGAAGCCTCATTTATACACTTTGTGGAAATTAACCCATCTGTAATTCCTAAACTTCAAATCAGATCCAGAAAATAATTATTCCTTTTTTATAAATAGGTAAAGTGAGACTGTAATTCACATAGTGAACTTCAGGAAACTGCGCAGGTATACCGGTCAGCACAACCTCTTATAGAAACAGGGCTTCCTGGTTCTGGATAGCCATGGATTTACATACATGAAAATGTTATAAACAAACTGCTAAATCTTATGTTATTGGCCTCTTTGACCTTCTTCTCATGAAATGAAAAGTTATTACTAATAACTACATAAACTATCAAATACTTGCCTTTATCTCTTCTTTGAAGTACAAATGTTAGTGACTACCCAGTATAAGAGAGTGACTTTAAAAATTCTTTTATTTCCATGACAACCATAAGTGAATGATGCATTATGAGCAATGACTCAGGTTCAAGGCATATAGTCTTAAAGGGCCAGAGAGGCCCATCTCCTTTCATATGTGAGAAGGTTTAGGGAATTTTTTTATTTTTTACTTAGAAAGATTCTTCATACAGTATAATTTGATTATGGATTTTCTTTTAGGTATTTTCAGCATCCTTACTCACCCGCACACACACACAACTGGATGTGTATTTGCTCATGGTAACCAAACCATGAAAAATAATAAAACCTTGTTAAGTACAGTAGAATAAAGCATGGAGTCCATAACTATGTAAAACAAAGTCTCAAAAGATTTAAAATAAGTGATGTTACTATTCTCTGTCATGATGCTTGTCCTGAAGTGTAGTAGATATATCCAGTGCTGTTACTTTTTAAAACATAATTTCTTTTTCCTAGCAGGCATCAAATGAAAATAGCTTCTAGGTTAGTGGCAATTCATTGTGTTCATTACTTTCTGAGAATACTGCTATTGTCTGGTGTGAACTTGTATGCATGTTGTCAGTCTTCTGCATCACAGGAAGGGGCAAAATGCATGTCATTTAGGACTAATACTTCAAACTCTCTCACATTAAGCACATTGTTCTGATATGAAAATTATGATAATTATCATCTACTACAAGAAATTGCTTATACAATATTAGATGAATGAAGACATAAGCTATGAATAATTAAAATTTAAATTGAAAGTTATCTTATTTCAATGTTCATTTATCAGAATATTAAAACTATGTTTTCCCTACAGCAATATCGTATCCAATATAATGTGCCTGTCAACTTAAGCAGAGTCATTTATAGGTTCTATATCTTTAACTGGACCCCGAGTCCAGTATAAATATCATATGTTATGCCCACAAACTTTGTGAAACTTACACCAGTATATCTTCCAAGCAATTATCTTGCAGCTATGTGATTTTGCTGGTTATAATCCCCTGTTGTAACTATTTCAGTATCAAAAAGTACTGATCACTTGTCAGTAGAGGTACAAATGAGTCAAACTTTAAAAATAAGCTGCTTCAGAGACATCTCTAGAAAACTACAACCAAGCAAAATTAAGAGTTGTGTTCAGTCTCAATGGACATATCTACAAACACTCTTGCATCTAAGGTTGAGGAATAGCGGTGAAAGTGGAGAGGAAATATTGTGATAGCAAAAGTATCATGGAGTTTGTAGTCAGACTATGTCTGTAAGCTATAGCAGAAGACATACCTATAAAATCTCACCACCAATTTTGCCCAAATATAAGATGAAGAAAAATGATACAAAGGACAACATGTCAAATCTGGAGGAGACAAACTCATGAGACCTCAACCCTACAAAACATTTCATAGGCAATTCAGGAAAGCCAAAATTGGAAGAGGTGGTTTTATCCAAGAAGAATACCAGTGTCAAATGGTCATCCTCAAAATCATTCACACAAATGACATACATTACATGTACTGAAAAGCAATGTGTGTGTGTGAGTGTGTATATTTATGTCTGTGTAGGTATATGTTTGTGTGTCTGTGTGTCTGTATGCATGTGTAGGCATACAATAACAGTTAGTATAAAAAGAGACTAGGAATTTGTCTGAGAGTGTTGAGGACTATTGTGCTGGAATCACAGCTTGAGTCTGGACAGACTATATCAGGCCAATGCAGTTCCCCGTGGCAGAGGTTTATTGGGAAGGAAGGATGGAGAGAAAGAGAGAAAAAACAGAAAGACAAGAGAAAAGGGGTGAAGGTTAGGAAGGATCAGCCTTTTATTTAGGCTGTGATGTAACCGCTCACGGGAAGGTGTGGGAAGTGGACTCTGGAACAGTATGCAGTTGCCGCAACAGATGCATGGGTTCCTGTCGCCTATGTGTGATGTCACTGTGTTCAGAGATGATTAGCCAAGCTGGTACCTGATACCAACAAGGATTATCAGAAGGATTTGTTAGGAGGAAAAAATTAAAAGTACAATCTTAAAACTAAATGTAAAATCTGTGTTCTTACATACTAGCAAATATACAATAAGATAAAAGTTTTCATATATGCCATCTACCAAGTTTAAATCCTGTTAGAATAGAAACTTAAACTGATCCATACTCTCTAAAAATCAATCATTAATACTCTCACAACCAAATCAAGCAAACAAAACCAGGAACATTAAGGGCCGATTTCTATGAGAACTTCAAGGAAATGTTAATGCTAATAATCTCCAAATTTTTCATAACATGAATACTGAAAAATGTATCTTAATTCTTTTTGCTATGCCACTATTTTCCCAAATTCATACCACACAAAGTCCAACAAAAAACATAGACAAAGTTTCCTACGTATATAGATGCAAATATTATTGCCAAAATGCTTTGTAAATGAGTAATAACACATCAAAAATATTATCCACTCTGCTCTGTTGGCTTCTTCACAGAGATGTAGAGATGGTTTGAAATATGGTAAATGTCCTGAAAGAATAGGGATGCAAGGAACACATCTCAACATAATAAAAGCAATGTACACAAAGACCACAACTGACATAAACATAAATGGAGAAACACTGTGGGTGGAGAAAATGAGTTATTCCATGACAAAATGTAATTTAAATAACTATTCACAAGTTCAGACAAAGAGAAGGTAACAGAAGGATAACTCCATACCAAAGAGGCCAAGTACAGCTATGATAATACAGGAAATGCTCACACCAGCACATCTAAGATGGAAGAACACACACATACACACGTAAATAGCAATAAATCAATCAAACAAACAAAAAACCAACAGAGAGAGAAAAAGGGAGCAAAATTTATACACATATAAAAATATACTACAGTCATCAACAAAATAAACAGAATAAACAAAAACAAAAAACAGGAAATAAACATTGGCCTTTAATATCTCTGTTTCACAATAACTAGACATGTCGATCAGGATGGAAGTGAAATGAGGATCCATTCTTCAGTTACATATAAGAAACACACATAGACATGTAGAATGACTTCAAGGTCTGACTAAATTTTATTGTGGAATAGCATGGTGTTTTATTAATAACAATCTGCAGCATTTTGAAATCATTAATGATATTATCTACAGAAATCCATTTATTGTACAAGATTGTTTTAGCTATGTTGAGTTTTCTATTTGGTTTTCCATATGAAGTTGAAAATTATTCTTTTAAGTTCTATAAAGACTTTTATTGTAATTTTAATAGGCACTGTGTTTTGTCTACAAATTAACTTTATTATTAGATATTTTATATATTTATTTATATTTCAAATGCTATCTCCTTTCCCAATTTCTCTTCCACAAACCCCCTATCCCTCCTCCCCCTGCTTCTATGAGGGTGTTCACCCATTCCCACCCCACTGCCCTGACATTCCCTTACACTGGGGCATTGAGCCTTTACAGGACCAAGTCCCTCCCACCCATGTAAATTATCTTTTGTAAAGATGACCATATTTTACTAAGAAAATTCCTCCAATCCATGAGAATGGAAAATTATTCCTTCTTCTGATATCTTCTTAATTTTTTTCTTCAAAGACATGAAATTCTTGTCATTCACATATTTTACTTTCTTGGTTATACTTATACAAAGATGTTTTATATTACTTGTCGCCACCATGAAATTTGCTATATCCCTGAAGGTGTTTAACAGACTGAGGAGTTCTGTGGTAAATTTTCAGTGGTAACTTATGTATAATAATTTATCATCTGCAAATAGCAGAATGTTTACTTCTTCCTTTCCAAGTTATATCCTTATTATTTCCTTTATTGTCTTATTACTTTGTCTTGAGCTTCATCTGTATTTAATAGATAGGGAAAGAGGGGACGGGACAGCCTTTTCTTGTGCTTTATTATATTGAAATTGATTTAAGATTCTCTCCATTTAATTTGATGTTGGCTATTGGCTTGCTCAGTGTTGCCTTTATTATAAATAGTTATGTGACTTGTATTCTTTATCTCTCAATTTTTCTTAGAGGGGTTTTGGATATTGATAAAGCCCTTTTCAGCATGTAGATGATTACGAGTTCTTTTTTCTTCTTTATTTCAGTTTCTTTATATGGTGGATCACAATGATTTATTTTCATGGGTTAAACCATCTTGGCCTGTCTGTATTGAAGCCTTACACTATCATGTTAGATGATCTTTTTGATATGTTCTTGAATTTGCTTTGCTAGTATTATAGTGAGTATTTTTTCTATCAATGTGGGTTTTTTCTTGATAAGTTGGTCTGAAGTTCCCTTTCTTTGCTGAACAATTTGTGGTTTAAAGCAAATTGAGGCCTAATAAAATGTATTTTCAATGTTTCTTCAGATTCTGCAAAGTATGATGGTGTCTCACCTTGATAGTGGGTGTTCTGTTAGCAGAATCTAGAGTCATCTGAGCAAAGTGCACCTCAGTAAATAATATTCCT